ATTCATAGTGATATGCCTCCATGGCACTTGCATCAGGAGAGAGAGGCAACAAGAGTGCCTGTCACTCATTTGGGAGGTAATTAGTTTCTTTTCACCCAAACAGTCTTTGATTCATACTACTTTTGCAACTTATTCAAGTGAAGATGAAAATTTTCTGTTTCTTTCTCATAGCTTTTGGCTATAAATCACTCTCATTCAATTTTTAAACTTCAATCTTTTTTTTCGTAAAACTTAATCGTAATTTTATATATCGATTCATAATTTGATTAATTTCGCTCATTTTTTTCTTATTCGACAAACCATATATTTAAATTATCAAATATCTTGAATTTGTATATAGAATTAACTTCATACCTAATTCACTCTTTCATTTCAAATTTATATCTTATTTCTATTTTATTTCTTATTTTTATTTTATAAAATTAAAATTTGAACAAAATTTAATTTTAATAATATCAGTGATAAATCGATTAGAATAAAAAAATTTATTTTAAAAATAAGATAATAAATGAGATTTAAACTCTAAATGTCTCCTTTTAATAATGAAATAATTTATTTTTGTTGAAAAAATATTAAACTAATAAAAAATACTCATCTATTATTTAGTCTGATAGATAAAAAATAATCAAATTACAATTGTAGTCTTTGTTATTAACCTCAGAATTGTACAGACATTATGTTGATCATGAACCAAATCCTCCATTTCAAGTACTTCTCCTTAACAATACCATGGAAAGAGAGGCTACTCAAATACCACCTCGTACATTCTCTTCACGAGTTGAAAGAGAGGCTACTCGGATACCAAGAGATGCATACACTTTACGAGAACATAATGAAGACTCAAGACTAACGCAAGATGAGAAAAAATCAGCTTTGGCAAAACTTAAAAAATCAGTTTATAATCCAACACTAAAAAAACTTTCAAAAAGACTCAGCTTGTATTACAGAAATCACAACCAAAGTAACGATTATAATGAAAAGAAAACTCGCGATGATCATGATGATGATAATGAAAAATGTACAATTTGTTTAGAGGATTTTGAAGCTAAAGAAGTGGTTATGGTCACACCATGCAAACATATGTTTCATGAGGAATGTATCGTGCCATGGGTGAAGGAACAAGGTTGTTGTCCTGTTTGCAGGTCCGTATTTTACGAGCCAACTAGATCAAGAAATTCATCGACCATGAATACCAACGGTGTTGGTGATGTTACGGTAAATTTGGTAACAAATGATAATGTATCTTTGATAGATCTAATTTCGATTGTAACTGCCCTCGAGCATGATCTCTTTTTTACTAATTTAGCACGTTGAAGTATGATTATTATAAGTGTATACTTCTTATAATTGAATGATAAATAATGGTTTCTCTAATTAGCGATCTTGAAGATGCGAATGTTATATAAGTCAATAAAATTAATATCTTATTTCTACATTAATTATGTAGAAAAGCTTTTATGTGCTTGAATTAAAATGGTATTGAAATTAATTTTTACATTTTTAGATTTTATTTGTAATTACGGCTAATAATTTTATCTCGAATTTAATTAGTAGAAATCAAATTGTTTATTACAAATAAATTTGTTATAGGGGACATATTGGGAGCAACAATTTGCTCGAACCAAAGAGTGTAATGTAGATCATGATACATATTAGGGACAAGGATGTACTTGAAAAGAAAAACACAAATGACAAGGAGTATTTGATCGTGTCAATAATAGCACCATGCATTTTCTCCATTTTTCAAAAAAAAAAAAAAATTATCTTGTGGAATTATTATTATTATTTTTTAATTTAATGTATACAAAATATTAATTTTATCTAAATACATTATAATTCAACATAACGAGATTTTATTTTATCACTATAAATTTATTAAGATATTAATAATTAAATCATGTGATACATTGAATGAAACACTGTAAATCAGTTAACGTTAACTCATAATGTACTTTGTAAGTAATGATTTTTAAGTTTTTAATAAAATTTAAAATTGTAATCTTCAAGTAGAGTGAACGAATCTTAACTATTATATCATTATATTAGTTGTATTATTATTGTTATTAATATTGCTGGATTCAAAAATTGATCTATAATATTTTAATGTTGAGTTTTAATTAATCATGTGGGTTTGTGTGTAAATTATTGTGCATAAAAAATTATTAAATTAATTAAACCCGTTTAAAATGATCCGATGAAAAAATAGAGAAAATGAGAGAAAATTTCAGATGACTGTTTGCTAATTTATAAATTTTATCTCAAAAATAGGATTGCGTATATGAAATTAGAACTAATTTATAAAATTTTGTGATTATATTCTCAATTTTTATAATTATGTAAATAAAATTCTAAATATTGGAGACTTTATTTGGTACTTAATTTCATGTCTAAAAAGTTGTACTAAAATTTTTTTATGACTGAAAAAAAAAAAAAAATTATAGGCAAAACTCGATATAATACGGCGTCGTACTGAAATAGAAAGCTAACGATTCTGAAGCTCGAACAAAAATCTGAACCAGAGAAAAAAAAAATCTAGTCTGAACAGCTGACCGAAGAAACAAAAAAATCAGAAAAACTTGTAGCCACTAGAAAAGCGCCACGTACACATTTTCCAAGCCACATCCGTTTTCTCAAATACACAAGCGCCTCTCTCTTCTCGTCTTACTGCGCCAAAAAGGCCCAGGCTACGGCTCCCCGCTATTCCTTCTATTTTCAGAAATCCCTCAACTTTTAAGGTACGTACTCATTTCCTCTTCCGCTCCTTGTTTCTCTGATTTGTTCTAATGGCTTACTTGCAAATCCGAATTCAAATTTATTTTTTTGTTTTGTTTCTGAGCTCGAACTGTGTGTAATTCTAGTGTCGTATCAATTTGGTGTGTAATGTGTTACTAGTTTTTGAAAATTATGCATGAAGCAATACATGAGTTGGAAACCCTAAGATGGTGTAGGAAGTAGTTCTGGTAGGAAGGAAAGTAAACCGGTCACTTATACTGTGTTAGTTTCGCGCTCTTGATCGATTTCCGTTAGCAAATGTCACTGTGTTATCACCTTCAGTGGTTTCTGAAGTTTTGTTTTTGCTTAAACTGTGGGGAGTCAGATTAACCAATTTGTGCAAGTCAATTGAGGGTTTCTATTATTATGTGTAGATTTGTTTGAAATGTCTTTTACATATTTGCTTTCCAATTGTTGTTAGTAGTCCAACTTTGATTTCTGAATTGTATAACTTCAGATGATTATGGATGACATAATCTTTCATATCAAGAAAAAAAATTTGAAACATGATGAGAGCTAAACTGTTATTCATGAAAGCAAGTTCGGAATAAGATTTGAAACATCATGTTGAAACTTGTCTTGAGCAGGTCAAAAAAATGAAGAAGAATAAAAAAGAACATAGTTTAGAATTAATTCAAAGCGTTAGAAAGACTCATGCATTTGCTTTTGCTTCTTCCAAAGTCTTTTCCTTCTAAATATGATTTTCTTTACTTCCCTGACAAAATCTTGAGTTTGTTTCTGGTTTTATTTATGCCGTGATAAGACTTTTTTTTTATCTGTCTCATTTATATTACTATAGAAGTCGTACTGTGTTTCTAGAAGAATTGGCATTAATTTTTGTTTTTGCTGCCAGCCAAAAACAAATCCAAAAATTATTTTATTCCTATGATCTTTTTTTTTTTAAAAATTTAATTCTCAATTTGCTACTTTTATCTGAGTGACTATGTTTATGTATATTTATACACTTCTTTATGAATTCACTCGTAAGTTATTTAAATATCAATCGCAATTTTCTTGATAGTAATGCAGATGGCAGCGTCATCAACCTGTCTCGTAGGAAATGGTTTATCAATCCACACAAACAGACCAAAATTGAGCAAGAGTTTCTACGGCAGGGAGCTTTTCCTGTCCTCAAGCCTACCATCATCATCTAAGACATCAAAGGTGGTTCTTGTGAAGGCATCTTTGGACCAGAAGCAACATGAAGGAAGAAGAGGCTTTCTAAAGCTATTGCTTGGAAATGTAGGAATCGGTGCACAAGCTTTACTGGGAAGTGGGAAAGCATATGCTGACGAACAAGGGGTTTCTTCCTCTAGGATGTCATACTCTAGGTTCTTGGAGTACTTGGATAAAGACAGGGTGAAAAAAGTAGATTTGTTTGAAAATGGGACCATAGCTATAGTGGAGGCTGTTTCACCTGAGTTGGGAAATCGGGTTCAACGAGTTCGGGTTCAATTGCCAGGACTTAGCCAGGAGCTTCTTCAGAAGTTCAGGGAAAAGAACATTGACTTTGCAGCCCATAATGCTCAAGAAGATTCTGGTTCTTTGTTATTCAACTTGATTGGGAATCTGGCGTTCCCGTTGATCTTGATTGGAGGACTATTCCTTCTCTCAAGACGATCATCTGGAGGAATGGGTGGTCCAGGTGGACCTGGCTTCCCACTTGCATTTGGTCAATCAAAGGCAAAATTCCAAATGGAACCAATCACAGGTGTGACATTTGACGATGTTGCTGGAGTTGATGAAGCCAAGCAGGATTTCATGGAGGTGGGTGGAGTTTCAGAGGAAACCTGACAGATTCACTGGCTGTCGG